AAGAAAAAAGTTCAATTCAAGAGAATCTATTATATATATATATATATATATATATATATATATATATATATATATATATATATATTAAAATTTGTTCCATTTAATCGTTACACGAAATAGGAACAGTATAATGTAAAAGAAGCGATATAGACGAATAAATAAAATAAAAAAGAAAGAAGTGTTCGTTTCAGGAGAATCTATTATATATATATATATATATATATATATATATATATATATATATATATATATATTAAAATTTGTTCCATTTAATCGTTACACGAAATAGGAACAGTATAATGTAAAAGAAGCGATATAGACGAATAAATAAAATAAAAAAGAAAGAAGTGTTCGTTTCAGGAGAATCTATTATATATATATATATATATATATATATATATATATATATATATAATAGATATATATATATATATATATTATAATTTAATTTTCGAAGAACTAAACTTAAACAAAAATTGATGAATTCTCGTTATTTGAATTGCATGGAGTCTGTACTTAACATCTATCTCGATAGATAGCGATATCATGAACACGTGCCGTTTAAATCGATACAACACACAAACCACAACACAATTACTGATATACTTGCTTTTAAGTAAACTTTAGAATGCTTTAGAGTGAATGTCGAATTTATATATTCGTGTGTGTTTATCTTTGTGTCCGTGTCCATGTCCGTATCTATTCATGCGCGTGTATTTCTATCTCTTGCTTTCATTTCAAATTTCACGATAACGCGTTAAGCGAAAAGAAATATATATATGTATATATATATATATATATATATATATATATATACATATATAAATAAAAAAAATGAATATGAAATTACAATAATACAAAAACTAATACTTCAAATCATATATATATCATCATTCAATTCAACATATTATTTAATCTGATCGTATTAGTTTTATTTTAATTCCTCTACGTTGATTTCACAAAATCGTTTTGTTTTATTTTCTATTTTTTTGGTTTGTTCCTTTTTTCTTTTTTTTCTTTTTTTCTAACGTCTTTTTCTATTTTGTTTTCTTCTTTTTTTTTTGTGTATTAAAAGTCTTCGAAACAACGAATTTAATTATTATTCAATCGATTAATTGATTGAGTATTAAAAACACTGATTTCCATGCATTTCATCTAATTATTTAAAAAATTATACAGAAGGATAAAAATTCGAGAATAGATTAAGTAATATTATTAATCTGTTATGAAAATTAATGATTCAAATCACGATACTTATGATTTATTAATTAATTTTATTGATTCATTGTCTATTAAAATTCATTAATTAAATGTATAAATTTATACACATATATTCAATAGTATTATTGATTTCGATTAAGAAGAATGAAAAAAAAGAAAGTATTATTACCCTCCCCTTTTTTTCTTAATACTTATTGTGCAAAAGGTCAAAGTAAAATATTTTCTTACATTTCATACATAGATCACGTAGAAAAATGAAATGATATATGTAAAACCGTATGAAATTAAGTGATGATAAATAATGATGATGATGATGATGAATGATGATAATGATGATGATGATAATGATAATGATGATGACGATGACGATGATGATGATGACGATGACGACGATGATGATGATGATTATAATTATTATGATTATTATTATTATTATTATTATTATTATTATTATTATTATTATTATTATTATTATTATTATTATTATTATTATTATTATTATTATTATTATTATTATTATTATTGTTAATATTATTATTATTATTATTATTATTATTATTATTATTATTATTATTATTATTATTGTTATATTATTATTATTATTATAACAAAATAAAAAAAAATAAATAAATGAAAATTCTATCGAAGATTATTTAAATGGATAAAACTTTTCTCACGTGCCATTAATTTCATATATTAAAATCTATACTCTTGAATCATACATCTTTGCTCATTACTATGTTAACCGTTAAGCAAGAACAAGCGTAAAAAAAGAAGAAATGAAAAAAAAATAAGTACAGGTTTAACCGTTAACCAAGAAAAAAAAAACAAAAATAAAAAAAAAGAAAATAATAAGTACTTTAATAAGATACTATGTTAGAAAAAAAAAAAATGAAAGAAACCGCATTTCTTTATCTATGGAAAAATTTCGAAAAGTTATCGGGTCAGATACTCATATATATATATCTATACATAACATATGCATATATATATATATATATATATATATATATATATATATATATAAATGAAATAAAAAACCAAAAAATGAAAGAAGAAGAGGAAGATAAAAAGATAAAAAATATGTAATTAAAATATTTTAAAGTAACAATTTCTTTTTCTTTTTTTTTTTTTCATATCTTTATATAATAATTTTCAAAAATGTTCGATTACTGACTTTTTCGAAATTTGATTTTATCAATAGAAAAAGTGAGACACATTTTGTACGTGCTTATGTATGTGTGTGTGTGTAGATAAATAAAAGAATAATCTCAATGAAAATTTGACTATAAAAATTATTATTATTATTATTATTATTATTATTATTATTATTATTATTATTATTATTATTATTATTATTATTACGATTATTATTATTGTTATTATTATTGTTATTATTATTGTTATTATTATTGTTATTATTATTGTTATTATTATTATTATTATTATTATTATTATTATTATTATTACTGTTATTGTTATCCATTATTATTATTATCAACATGTAAATCTTGACAGGAGTAGTAACCTTATTCGCATAAATGAATAAGCACAAAGATGAGGTTACATGTCATGAGGCACGTGACGTTTTAATATAGTAAGGAAAAAGTATGAGAATGTAAGCCGAATGATTCACACGACAATATAAAACTCTTTCACGTTGCTGACAACTATTGCAAGAAGTGGAAAAAAGAGATAAGCGAAGAAAGCCGTAGGAAAAACCATAAGCTTCTTCTTTTTTCCTTTTGTACCGAATTAGTCATAATTGAATTGAAAGAACGTTTTAACTCGGGGTTTTCTCTTTTTATTT